GGAGATGGATCAACAGCAGAGGTTTATAATTCTGGAGTATAAGATACAATTATTGACAAAATTCTCAACCAAAATCTTAAGGAAAACTTTTCTTATGAAGAATCAAATGAGGATATCTGCTCCTGGGAGGATCAGAAATGATGATTGTGGTGATTTATATAGATAAGAAGCTGCTGTAGACTTTCTACGAGTTAAATACAGTAATAGATTTTTAACAGAGGACTTTTAAGTTTAATTTTGCTGTTGGTTCACCTGTTAATTACTTTGCTTTTATATATACCGTTTCCCTCAAAATAAGACATCCCCTGATAATAAACCCAATCGGGCTTTTGAGTGCATGGCAATAAGGCCAAGTGTTTATTTCAGGGTTCAAAAATATATAAGACAAGGTCTTATTTTCGGGGAAACACGGTAGTAGATAGATGCCAGGTCAAATTGGTTGCAAATAGATGCTGAAGTTTATAAATTTTGGGCATGCTTTGCAACATTGTTGCAACATATTTATCAGCATTCAACTAGAGGTGACCTTGTATGTATATATGATTTTGTTCTTTGTCCTTTTAACGTACATTATGATTTTTTTAATGCTTTGTAAATATTTTATTTTTGTAATTTTTTGGAAGTTTGTATTTTATCTTAATTTTCTGAATAAATAAAAAATTATTCAAAAAAATAAACGTTATATAGAAAAACGTCTCATTGACATAATTTGAAATATAAAACATACATTAATAAAGCTGTATGTATAAATGGAATAAAAGAAACAGATTAAATAAGAATAAAATAAAGAATGTGAACCATATTTCTATGTCACCACTGTAATTTACCCAGGTCGGATCCACATATGCAGACCTCAACTAGACTTTTATTCAATTATAGAGCCATGTTATATGTGATTTTTGAATTCTGACCAGATATGAAGTGTATTGTTTTAATATAAGAATCCAAATAGGTGGTCCAAGATACTAGTCACTCTCTTTCTTATAAAGTTGACATTGAAATAATAAATATGTTGTATCTTCTATCTCTGGAGTTCCACAAATGTAAGTGAGTTCTTTGCAAATCTTTCATATTTAAGCATTGCATCCAAGCTGTTTAAATCTCGCATTTGTAAACACTTCCCTAAGTTGTTTAGGCTTTTCTGTGTTTAGGTATTTGCAATTTGAAAAGTACATTTATAGTTCATAAATTGCTTATTCATTTCAATAAGCCAACCTTACCGAGGATGGCTATATTCTTTTGTGATTCAATATCCAAAATTTTTTGTGCAATAATATTTTTAGCTTATTCTCCAGTTGTATAGGAGATAAGGAGACCATATTCCTAATATAATTCATCAATTTTACAATTCAAACTCAACTTTAAGTTTTTGTCTATTCTAACACACACAATTTTGGGAGTCTGTTAGTTTCCATAGCATTAACTTTGGACCAAAAATTATACGCCCTAAATTTAGATAAAGAACAACTTGTATAAATTCCCAATTTAGTTCTATCTGTGGCAGCTGAAGTCTTTTATCCAGACCCAAAATACTTCTCAAATGCTGTAATTATGTTTGTTCTAGTATTGATACTGAAGCACCAAATTTCAGCTCAATATAAGAGCACTGAAATGATCTTGGCCTTATATAATTTAATAATTAGGGTTAAGGAATCTGAATAACTATGCTTATTTATTTATTTAATTTAGGGAGTAGATTCATTCCTGCTCTTGTTCTAAGTGAGTTTCTTTGATGATGAAGGAGCCAAGATCCAGGCTCAAAAAAACTTCCCCTAGGTAAGGAAAGGTATTAACTTGCTTTATTGGCTCATCATCTAATAGCCACCTATGGCTATGGTGTTGTTCTCCAAAACTCTTGACTTTGATTTATTAATAATCAGAGATTATGTCAATAGGAACCAAGTCTTCTTAACAGCCTACACAATCCCACTTTTAAAAAGGACAGCAATATATTATCAGTGTATACTAGGGTATTACTATGATGTGTACTTCAGGATTCTTCTTTACTCTTGGTAAATCAATGTACAGTAGAACCTCTGGTCATGAATGCTTCTGACCACAATCAAATCAGGTTCTGCCCAAAAAATTCACAATTTTTTTTCACTGCCAATTTCCCCTTCCGTGCCATCTTTTTTGTAAGTGCCAATTTTCCAAAATTAGGTTCAGGCCATGACCAAAGTTATGGAATGAATTATGGTCATGACCAGAGTTCTAATGCACAATGGTGCAGGTTGAAACTACAAAAAAAGTAAATAAGGCAATAATTGAGGGGACTTCACTACAGGAATGGGTGAGACATTTGTTCCATGTTTATGGAAACTTTTCTTGCTACTATGTTTTCCTAAAAGATCTGAAGCATTCATTCATTAATGTAAATGTAATGTAATATCAAATTACTATAGTTGATGTATGAATTTGTGGATCTAAAATATAGAAATATTAAAGAGAGTAGAAATATTGGAAAATATAAAAATATAAAAATGCTAAAACCTTTATACAATAGAACAATGTTTCTTAAAGTGTGGCCCTAGGACCTTGGAGTCTCCCAAGACCTTTTCAGGAGTCCTCAAAATCAAAATTATTTGCCAGCCTATGTTGAAAAATAATACAATATTAAAATCCCATAAAACAATTGTGAGAAATGGTGGCATCTGTGAATGTATCTATTTTAATTTTTAATATAGTAAATATCAATAAATAGAAACAAAAGCTCTTTTGGGGTGCTCCATAATTTTTAAAAGCAGGAAGGAGATCTGAACAAAAATGATTAAGAAACACAATTATATAGAAATCATACAGTATTTAGAAAATGGAAGGTTCACTTCAGCAGTACAATGCCTGTAAAGGTGATTAGGTTTCATTTTACATCTGCTTTCTAATAATGTTATGATCATTTTGTAAGCTAATACTTTGAAAGCAGAAACTTCTAAATGGCATATTTCATAAAACAACATCCAGTGACATGTTTTATACCTATTTACTGAATGCAATCTAAAGAACAATCTACTGAATGAAGTCAGGAAGTTATCTTGAACTGCAAAGACAGTCATTAAGTTTACATACACCCAAACAAAAAGACAGTCATGCGATTCATGAGAAAAAAACAAGTTAAGTAATACCTTAACTAAGACAAATCAAAATGCTACAAAAATCACTCATGCTTTCTCAAAAATTTGAAACCATGCAAAATGTTTTGCAACATTTTGGTTCAGTCTAATAAAGCTATTGCCCAATTATGTATTATGCTTGTAAATATTTTCCATTCCAGAAATCTACAATCATCTGCATGTTCTGTAAACTCATTAATTCTAATATCCCTGTTTTTCACAACTGTAAAATACCATCATCATAGAATGAGTGGGAGTTCACCAAATAGGTTTGTCTCATTCTTACTAAAATGCTTAATGCTACAGAAATTTCATCTAAACACTTTATAATTTCACCATTCACAGTCAACATTTATTTCTTACTCATATTCTCATGTTCAAGCAGTTTTTCATATGGTTAGTAATACAAGGAATCCTGCCCCTCCCTTATTTATTGGAGATAAAAAGAAATGTATAATTAGGTATACTTCTTTTCTAAAAACCATGTCTTTTGCATATCAAGAGCAATTCAGGAAAAATAATTTTCCAAGCCAAGCAAATAAGTAATGTATTATATCTTTACAGATTGTATGTATGTATGTATGTATGTATGTGAAAATAAAGCACAGCCAACTAACAGAAACCAGATTGCTGATAAACAGAATAATTTTTAAAAAAAATCCTATCGATGTTGGAAAAGATAAAGCACCAAGGCAAGGTCACATTCTTTTATGTTGAGATGAGCAGCAAAACATTTTGCAAGCATGTTTCCAAGAGGCAACAAATTATTTATTTAAATAAATAAATAAATAAATAAATAAAAAAACGTACAGAATGAACTATGGAGGCTCGTCCAATACTTCCTGTTTCTGTTACATAGAAATCCAACTATATTCAGTCATGAGTAAGACTTTCTGGATTGGGATTTACTCATACAAAAGTAGACACAGGATTGCACCAAGAATGTGTCTCATCCTAGCTTTCCACCATACATCCTATGTTTTTCTTTGATGCATATTCAGATTACCCCTTGACTGTGCCAGATGAAAAGCCAGAGAGCTCATACACCTCTGTTTTTCCCATCTGAATTCTCTACAAAAAACAGAAAGGACACAGCATTCCAATGGTTTTTTTTTAAAAAAAACAAAAACCACCAACCTTTCCTTGAACCTAACATACATAGCAATGTAAGGTTGTGTAAGAACCTTGTAAGAATGTAAGAAGTAACAACTGATGGTTTGTGGGGGTGGGGATTGGCAGCGGTGGTTTAAATCCTCCTGACAGGCTGACCAACCTTTTCTTAGGGAAGGCTGAGAGAGAAACTAACCATATATATCTATATCCATATCCATATCTATATATATCTATATATAAAGGAAGGGGGATTATAATCCGATCCGTCCTTCAGATAACCCCAACATCTAACCTTATTACCTCCTACTACAGGAAAACCACCCTCAGCAGCCTGGCCCTGTCACATTCAACGGCTTATGGCACAGAAGGTTTTGGGGAGGGGGGGGAGGAAGAGAGAGGGAAAATCCTTCCTGCATCTGTTGGGAAAGGGAAGAGGGGTGGGGGGGAAACCCAAAACGTGCGGCGCGGTGCTCCCCACAACTGCCTCCAATCGAATCAAGGTCTTAAGATCTCAGATACCGGATCGTAAGGAAGGCTGTTTCGGCGATTACCTCTGACCGGCCTTTCGTCGCAAACGCCCGGGACGGAGAAAAGCTTATCCCCGCTATGATACCACCACCTCCTCCTCCTCCTCCTCCTCCTCTCCACAATAAACCGTACCCCTCTTTTCTACCCACCCACCCACCCGCAATTCTGCTTACCGGCATCATTTCCGGCGCTGTCACTAGCGATAATCGAGACGCCGGTCGGAGGAACGAAGGGAAAGGGGCGCAAGGGCGACCGCGGACCAGGCCTGGCTGCGTTGCCGCTCCTTCTGGCTCTCGGGACCGGAATTAGAGGGGGTTGGTTTCGAGCACGGTTGCCAGGCTCTGTTGTCCTATTTTCCCTCTAGCGGAATGGTGTCCTCGTTTTCTGGTGGGTTTTTTTTTTTTTCTCCCTTTTCCCGTCCTCCCCTTACGGGCGGTGACGACAGCGGCAGCAGAATCAAAAACGGGCAATCCAAGCCCCGGCCGCTGCCGCCGCCGCCGCCTCGTCCTCCTCTTTTCTCCTCAGAGGTTTTTTTTTTTTTTTTCCTTTCCCCTCAGCTCCGCTCTACTCCGCCTCGCCAGGGGTTAACGACGCCGCTTCCCGATTGGCCGAGGCAGGAGAGAAAAGGGGGCGGGGCTTTCCCACTGCCCTTGGAATGAGCAGGAAAAGGGGAGGAGGCAGAGAGAGAGAGAGAGAGAGGAATGCGAGGCGCGCTCAGTGCGTGGCCGCCTACCTGCTCTTTGGATTGCACGTGACACAGCCCGGGTTATTATTGCTGGTGCTTTTTAGGATGCAGGAAGGAACCACCCTTCTAATGCGCCTGCAAGGTTTTCGCCATGGGGGGTGGGGGAATGGATACTAGTGGATTTTACACGAGCTTTGCGCGCATAGGAGAATCGACCCATCCCTTCCTCCCCCTCCGTGGGCGTTCAGTGGTGCGTCACTGCAGGATCGCGGAATTCAGCTCCCTTTCGTGATCATAAGAGATTTCTGAACCAATCTCAAAAGGCAGCTTTATGCTAAAGTCGGCCCCGCTGTTCTCAAGTCAACGTAGGCTGTGTTTCTAATTAAACAAAAAATACGACGGCCTCATCTTTCCCCCCTTTCTGATACCCTTCAAAAGGACGACGTTAGTAATGCTGTGTATTCGATCATCTCCTGCCAGATTGGGGACATTTAATGTAAATTCTGTACAATCGGAAGGCACCAAGTTGGGAGACGCTGCCTGGCGCTTTTAATGGCCCCAGTTCGTTCTGGATTTGCTGTCTTCTGGCTGTTTTTCCTGTTTTTCCAATTCTGTCTTGAGCGAAGTAGTTCTGGCATCCTGCTAACTTCCTTTTCCTTCTAGTAACGTAGGATTTGCTGCTCTAAGCAAAGGCCGCCTACAAGTACTTTCCTCGTGGATTTTTTATTTTTTATTTTTTTTTGCATTTGCTAGCAGGATCGGCTGTATTGCTGTTCGGGCAGAAAAATCATTTTTATATATCCTCTGCTTGTATCTTCTAGGTCATGGGGACCGAAAAAAACTGAAAATTAAACCTCCTATGATACATTTATATAGGTTAATAGAGATGAGGGTAAAACAACATTGAGAAAAAAAATCCAAGTATCTTTCTCCTTATTGCACAGGTCATCATTTGTAACAAATACATTGACTTAATATGAAAGTCTTTTTTCTTACACTAAGTTTGTCAAACCCTATTTTTAAATGTGCTCACATCCTTATTTTCCCCTAGAATTCTGCCTCCCTAATTAGCTTTATGCATTGGGATTGATCAATATAATTGCAAATACCATAAATCTCAAATTCATATAAATTGAGATCCGTTCTACTGCTGATCAATTAATTTATTATTCTTAACATTACCTCTCCCAGTGTTTAGCTGAAAGTAAAATTAAAGTTTTTCACTAATTCTGTTTACATAATATTTATATCACACATGAAATTAAACCACAAATTAATTAGACTTCTTTCTAATAAACATAGTAGGAATGGGATACAAATGTATTTCTTTTCATTATATGCCCCTTCCCCTCAAACCCCTGCATATCAAAGGCTTCCAAGTGTTTCTACTGTGGTTTCCTTTTTCCGCTGTATTGTATAATTTGTTTGGTTTTTTTAGACCTTGATCTGGGCAAGGGCTGGAGTAAAAGCTAAAATCTTGAAGAAAAGTAGATTATGTGGTGAACAAGAAACCACATGTGAATTACTAAGGCATAGAACCAACCTTCTTTTATAAGCATTATAAAATTCAGAAAGGTCTGCATAATAACAAATACGATTATTTTATTTTTTAAACTAGAATAAAACGGAACAAATAGAAACAACACGTTTAAAATAAATGTATCTTAAAATTCAGGAATCATATGGGGCTCCCAAAACACCTCACTTTCTCTTTAGAAGAGGCCCAAATTTATAGATCCCTCAAATACTGACTTGATTCATATTTTCATATATATCACACTTAAAGTTTCTTTAAAGGTGAGTTATTTAATAATAATCCACATTCAGCAAAACCTGATTGCACCACAGCTAAACGTATTAATTCAATCTTTCAAATTTGCAAAGCAGCTCATTTTAAACTAACCACATTGGGATGGTTTTCAAACTAGCCTAGGCTAAAATATGATAGGCTCGTTGGGGAGTTTAGTATACTGAATGCATGTAGACAGCACATTCAGAGTATTACTTTTAACTTTTAACAAAGGCTCACATATTAAGGATTTGCAGCTTTGAGGATAAGGTTGCTTTAAGGATAAGAAGCTTGTTAGTCTTTTAAGATACCACAATACTTTTTTTTCTAACACTAGTCTGTCAATATTTTAGATCAGAAATTGGATGCTCAGCAAATACTCCTGTAGCAGAGGTCTAACTGGTAAAGTTAGTTAATGTTAGGCTGTGTTCACATGACATGGTAAGCCACTACAAAGGCTACAAAGTCAAAGCAAGCTTGTCCATGACATCATGTAATAAGTGCACCTCATTAGGAAAGGATGAAACCTTAACCAAACCACATAATATTGGCCCACTCAACATGCCTAGACATAGCTTATCTTTATTTTACTAGGGCTTCTCATTTTGTCTGAACCCTGTAATGATGTTGAGAGTACCTTTCCAGCTACCAACACAGATGCAGAAAGTGGCTCCTTGTAGCTGCTCTAACTACACCACCTCTTCTCTTTATGTCTCCAGTTGAGAGACAATGAGTTTAAAAACATGTTTCCTAAATAATACAAAAAAGGGATGCAGTCCAATTTGAACACCACTACAGAACTGGTAATCTTTCTTGTTTCCTATACTCCCAGTATTTCTCAACCTCAGAAATTTAAGCATGTTGGTTGGGAATCAAAGTCCATAGATAATAGTGCTGAGGTTAAAAAACACTGATCTATTCAAATGATAGGTAATATGTGCAAGTGCAAACTCAGTGTTGGGGAAAACATATCAAGAGGAACTAGAACTTCCACCTGAAACTTTCTTATGGTTCTCTGCTAAGACCTGTTAACAGTAATTGGTATTGGTTCTATTTGGATGTTATGCTTACTCAGTTTACCAGTCTACTCAATTATTCTATTTTTTACATTCACACAACTCACTGTACATAAATTGATAAGACTTGGGTTCACAAAACTCCCTACACTAAAATGTGGTTGATTTTTTTTTGTGCTTCGGATGTGTGATCACAGCTATAGTGCTATACAATACATAGATGAAAAATCAAATCCGGTTTCTCTTTCTGTAGCTTTGCTTAGTCTTAATAGCAGATGTAAACATAGAATGACTCGAGCAAGAGTAATTCTTCCTGTCTTCTTCCTCTGTTACACCCTATGGGCTAAAGGCACAATGCACTTTAAAAGAATTTCCACAGCTGACAGTCCCTTACTACCGACTTGAGGTATGCAAGGAATGCAGATGGCGGAGTCCACGCCTCCTTCCGCTTCTCCATCAAGGTGAGGCCCTGGGACAAGGCTTTCCTGAAAGTGGGAGGTTGAGGTAGAGACAGATATTTAAAAACCCACTGGGTTGTACATGGCCTTAATTTAAAGTAGGGGGAGAACATAACTTCCTATTATTGTTACTGGAGACTTGGAAAAGGTACATGCAAGTTTTGGAAATAATATATTTAGCGTATTTTATTTTTTTAGAAGTATTTAAAATTTTAAATTAAGAGGAAGCAACATCAAGTCAAATTTATTTGTGATGGTAATTGATTTTATGATGGGAAACTTGATAGATATTTAAAAGCTGTTCACTTAATCATGCTTTACTAAATTAGACCAATTTCTTGGCTTACTTGAGATAAGGAACTGTAATTTAACACGGGTTATACATAAACAACATTTTAAGCTAAGATGTAGTTGGCTACTATATATTGTGGAAAATTACAGAGAAAATAAAATATTAAGTGAAAATATATTTTTGCAAACTTATTTTAAATAAATACCGGTACTCTCTCGTAGTCCAACCGACCTCACAGGAGAAGGAAGGAATATTAGATGAGCTGCCTTGAGCTGTTTATAAAAATCATAAAGGCAGGATATAAATAAAATACACTCTGCTCTGCATTACATAACCAAAGAGAAGAGAGCTTAAAATGTATACTACTCATAATACGTTTCTCCTGTTGTGATGCTTTGGGAATTTTTCTTTTTCTCACCAGATCCTGCTTGATTTACAAATTCAGTCTTTCTTTTACTACCTTCCTCTGCCAGACCAAGTTTAGTCCTGTTGTATTCATTTCAAGGAGTAATTGTGCTGACAGGTGGGCAGAATTACAACCTGCTTAGTGTGATTTCTGTCCAAGTTCTACGAGATTGGAAAGAATAAAAACAAAAGTCCTTGGATTTTTAAGTGTGAAATCTAATGAAACTTTCAGCAATCCTGAGATGTAACTTTGATATCATAACAGCTTTGTTCTTGTCTCCTTTCCCCACCACCCTATGAATATTAACTAGTTATGAGAGTTTGAGACATACTTCTAAAGTAGCCTGTGTTTCACCTCCTGCTGCTTCTTAGGGAAAACCTGTTCAGCTTCTTTGTGGTAGAAATTGCATATACCTAACGCTGACTGGCTGATGACGTCCCAACCCCTCCCAGTACTGCTTATCAATTATTATTAACCTCATTGTATTTTTAAATGTATTCCTAGATATATATGCCAACTCAGCTGTTTGCACAATATTCTAATCCAGTGTTTCTCAATTTTGGCAACTTTTAAGATATATGGACTTCAATACTTAAAAATTGCTGGCTGGGGAGTTCTGGAAGTTGAAGTCCTTACATCTTCAAGTTGTCAACGTTGAGAAACATTACTCTCATCTATTGCTTGACAATGACTTGCTCATTTAACTGGGTATTCACAACCTCCAGAACCTTTAATTAAGCACACAGATTGAGTTTACAGTAGATGTGGTCCATCATGTGACATCCAAGGTATCCTCTCAGAGTGTACCTGGTATTTATCAGGCTCTTGAATTTTATATGCATGAATTTTAAATGGGAAGCTGCAAAGTATCAACATATTTTTTTTTTCACAGAACGCCTACGGCAATCAAATGAGCTCTATAAGCATTTTTAGAACATGCAAACTGTGGAATGTTTGTTTGGAAATGTGCACAGCAGCCCAGAGAAATATCAATAGGAGTAAAAAGAAACATTTCATGGGAGAAAGTGGCATTTAATTCAAAGCTGAATTTGTACAAAAAGTATCTGCAAGATTCTCTTTATATTCAACAGCTGTGGATCCTAGGAAAAATTGCATCTATTGCCATTTGTTGTTTCCACTTAACCAGTGATCCTTCCTTATATCTTTCCTTGATCTATTACTCTTTGATATTTATTGTCCTATTGTATTTATTACTTCTGCACTTTAACTGCATCCATTAACTTCTGCATCTGAGCTTAAATGCTTGCATAAAAATGAAAAATTTTGTAATTTGAAGAGGACCATTTTCAGACTTAATTCAAGGTTGTAGCATTGCATTGTATTTTCTGTCATGAGCCACCTAAAAGACAGGTCTGACCTACGTTTACTGCTTCAATGAGAGCTGTGCCTTTTAGAACATAACTCTTAATAGTTACAGTAATTTGTGTGTTCCAGCAGTTCATTACTTATGAATAACAAAAACTGATTTTTTTTCATTCCCAATTGCAATGGGATCCCAGGATGTAGACAAGTTTCTTAATGCAATTATAAAAGTTCAGAACATTCTAATATAGTACATTTTATTTTATAGTAATGGAAGTTTTAACCTTGTCTCCTGTAAAATTACTGATGCTGTTTGAAAGGGTTCCATAGAATGATTTAAATCATGGTCTGAGAAATCAGTGTTTTTAAACACCTTTTTCAGTCTCTGAAGCAGCTGGGAGCTATTCCATTTTTTTCCATCATCCAATTGATCAAAGGAAAGCAGATCATAGTTTCTTACTGCTAATGGCAACAAGGACAGCTCAAGTTTTTATTTTCTTTCCCTTGCAAAATGCCTGATTTCTTATAACAAAGAGAAGATGAGTGCTGACTCAGTGCTTCCCCTTTCCTTGTAACAATAATATCCCACATCACCCAGTGGAAGGGGAACATATTGGGAGGGTAGGGAGGAAAAGGGAGAAAATTTATCTGGACATAGTCATTTATGCTAAAACCATATCTAGTTTAATATCTGGCCTGAAGGGTACCTAAAGCCAAATGTTGCCAAAAGTGAGACTGGATTTGGAGAACATATAGCTGAGAAATACTTTTCTTTATTGTCCTGAATTGCATGATGGAAATTAATTACAATACTTTTTTTAAAATTCATTTTGAATGTACTAAATACATAAATGTTAATCTACACTGGAAATCATAAAATACGGAAATCATATATATCCATGTTTTTCCTCTTATAAAATTCAAGATGATGTGGGGATTACATAAACTTCCATAAGATTACTGATCACATTGAGGCCTCCTTAGCTTTTACCAAATGGTTGTATTATGTACCTTGAGACTCTCAAGTCATACGGTATAGTCATACAAGATACTGAATCACAAACTGCCGACTATATTGTAAGCCAGCATATTCTGCAAACCCGATGTGTGGTTATATCACGGTTCAGTGTGTCATTAAACCTAGAAATTAAACACATTTCTACCCTACTGTAATCAAAATGATTCCCAGCCTACATATAGATAGAAACAATTTTTAGACATCCATGGCAGCAACTGACAGTATGCAATGACTTGTTACTCAAAAGCCAATTACATTGAATAAACCATGTTTATGTTATCCATGTGAAGATAACCACACACGTGGCTATTGTAATATGTAACATAACCTGAGTGACATGATGCTATAAAGCTAAAACTAAACAAAAGTTGGATGGGGAACTTTTGAAAAAAAGTCTATACTATGTATTCAATGACAGAAGATATATATTTGTATGTAAATATTACAAAGGGCATTAGTCTCCAATGATTAAACACAAGTAAACAATGACCTACAGTAATAATTTTCTGCCAGATATAATCGTAATTTTAAAGTTGAATACAATTCAGATTACTTTTTGAGGGATTTAGAAATACAGAGAACAACTTCTCAAAACTGTAAGATATCCCTTTAGATAAATTAATAATCGATTCAACAGAGATCACCTTATTGAAATTCCTGGCATGAGGTGAATAAAGAAACAAATCAAAATTGGCACATAAACCTTATTTCCATAAACTTGTTTGTCCTTGTCTTCTATTTTTAGCTTGTTTGGGCTTAAACGCACAACTGTTTAAAGCATCAGTGTACCTGTATATTCAAAGAGGATATGACTGGTTAGTTTTAAAAACATGTAATTTAGGAAATATCCATTTACTTTAATTTATCTAAACTTCTTCTGTTGAATTATACAGTAGAATTGTACTGATTGGAAGTTTGCTAAAGAGATTGTGTGCTCTTCTTTTAGTTAAATAAACAGGATGGGCAGCATAATCTACGTGACCGTTTCTACTGCTAAAATATAGTGCTTTGCATCTCTGGATTTTTATTTTATTTTACAGATAGAAACCCAGTGGAAGGCATTTGTTATATATAACTATCTGCTTGAGTCATAAGATGTCTGTATTTCAAATTTACCAGAATACATACAAGCTGATGAAGCTGCAAAGTTTAAACTCTGCATTATCCGTCTTAGCCTTTTTGGCCAAAATTGTAATTATTTTATTTTATTTTAATTACAGGTACAATTAGGAGTAAGAAAGGGATGTTGATTATGTCTTAATTGTATGTATGGCTTAACATGTGTGCATACCAGAGGTGGGTTTCAGCAGGTTCTGACCAGTTTTGGAGAACTGGTAGCGGAAATTTTGAGTAGTTCGGAGAACTGGTAGTAAAAATTCTGACTGGCCCTGTCCCCATTTATTCTCTGCCTTCCAAGTCCCAGCTGATCAGGAGGAAATGGAGATTTTGCAGTAACCTGCCCCTGGAGTGGGGTGGGAATGGAGATTTTACAATATCCTTCCCCTGCCATGCCCAAGCCATGCCCACCAAGCCACACCCACAGAACCGGTAGTAAAAAATTTTGAAACCCACCACTGGTGCATACAATGCTAAAATTGGAAAAAATCACATCCTTCAAAGTATTACTAATATCTATGGGTGATTTGCATTTTTTATCCCACCGTTTTGTGTCGTACTACTATTTAAAATAATTCACCTGCCAACCTTTTTCTAATCTATGTCTTCTGTTCATTTAAAGAAAGCATAATAAAAACCCAGCAAAACGAAACACTATTCCAATAGTATTAAAATAGCAGCCAACTTACATATTTGTAACATAGTTTTTAAAAGATTTCCCAATTTTTTAGTTGATTTGACACTGCCTAACTTCTAAGGGACTCTGGATTGCTCACAATATACAAAATAAAAATAATACAGTAAGGATATTGATCAAAAGACGAAGTAGAAAAGAAGAGCAAGATGAGCCACGATGGTGCAGTGGTTAGAGTGCAGTACTGCCGGCTACTTCTGCTAACTGCCGGCTGCCTGCAATTTGGCAGTTCAAATCTCACCAGGCTCAAGGCTGACTCAGCCTTCCAGCCTTCCAAGATGGGTAAAATGAAGACCCAAATTGTTGGGGGAAAGATGCTGACTCTGTAAACTGCTTAGACAGGGCTGTAAAAGCACTGTGAAGCGGTATATAGGTCGAGTGAAGTGAAGTGAAAGATGGTGAATCTACTAGGCAACACATTTACCAATTTCCTGTGGGAGGCTCCAGCTAACCAAGCTCAAGGCCTGGGAGAATATGGCCCTCCAGAAATCCATGAGGTAGGAATAATTAAAGGAAGGCATATTGTTACACTTCTTTTATAGATAAATGCAGAGTCTTCCATCCAGTGGCCATGGAGAAGCATAACATAAAGGTCCAAAGACTTTCAAATTTGAAAGTAGCTTACAACATCAGAATTTTACTTTCATGACTACAGATTGCTCTCTAGGCTGAATTTCTCATGCTTGGCTGACAAAACTGCATTATTTTGCAGGATCAAACAATTGTTAATTCAAAATTAACAAGTGGCAGTTTCATGGTTTTATACTGGTATTAATACTGACAAAACTGACTAAGGACAGCCAATTCAAGCTCTCATGGGGCGCTGAGAGTACTGCATACAATATTCAGTCCACAACACAGACTAGAACCATCAGTGCTTATTAGGTTTGTTTTTCACAGTGCATTTGTACAACAGGTTTATAATCTGAACAATACAGGAACTTATCTTTGAACAAAATAAAATAAAAAGTGATTCTTAGGTCAAACAAAAATGTATCTGGTGTGAAATTAAATGTAGGGTTTAGAGGTCAAGGACACTTACCATATTAGAATATTCTTAAAACTAATCCATTCTATTTCAACAAAATGTACAAAAATCAAATGTTGATTACATCCTAGACACTTATTCTCATAGCAGAAGTGCTAATTGGAGGATGTAAGTGAAATTCACTAAATGAACGAACAATATAATTTAGATATTGCACACTTTATATTGTGATTGTGCAAAACCCATTAAATATGCTTCTTCAGAATTGGTGCTATAACATGGATGCCAAACTGATGGAGTCACCTTGTGGTTGAGATGGGCCACAAATAAATTTAATAAATACATAAAATGTAAAGATCAACTATCTGCAAAGCCAACTCAGCCTAACTTCATTACCATAGAATCTTAAGAAAAGGTAATAAAATAGAAAATCACTTGATCACATTTTTACTGAATACTTTCTGCCATTTTGTTTTTTTTACCTCATTTGTTGTCTGATTATTCTAGACCAAGGATGACAGCAGCCTGCTAGAATCTCAGAAGAGATATGGAAAGACTTATGAAATTATAAAGAAAAATTATACATTCTTATACAAATGTTTTTTTCCAACAAAGCCTGGGAGTATCTGATTGTGTATGCGATGGAGATCCATGCCAGCTAGTGGGGATGCATGCTACATGTTTTTCTCTGCAACCTAGCATGCAATTGATGTTTCAGTACATTCAGCAGTCTAATTTCTCCCATTCCCCTCAGGTTTTATCTCTCCTCCTACCTACACTTCAGGTTCATACAACCTTGCAGTTTTATCCAGTGGTGAAATGTAAAATTTGTTACTACCAGTTCTGTGGCTGTGGCTTCGGGGAGGGGTAATGTGACTGAGTGGGTGTGGCCAACTTTTTTTTTAACTTTTAAAACCATTTTTTCTACCACCTCTTCAGCCGAGGATGTTGAAAAAAAAAAGTGGTTTTAAAAGCCTCTGATGATCCCAGCTGAGCCGCGCGATCATCAGAGGCTTTTTTTTTACTTTTAAAAGCATTTTTTCGGCCCAAGAGGTTGTAGAAAAAAATGCTTTCAAAAATAAAAAAAAAAGCCTCTGATGATTGCGTGGCACAGCTGGGCATGGGGAGGGGCAGGGATTTTTGCTACTGGTCCTCCAAACTACCTGCCGCCATCACTACCGGATCGGGTGATCCAGTCCGAACTGAACATTTCACCCCTGGTTTTATCGTTGTTATCAATGTTCAGTTTTAGGTACCCAGGATTAGCACATCTGATAGTTTATTGACAAAATACTTCTCTGAAAGGGTAGAAAGAGCCAATCCACTGCTACTATCTAAAAGCATTCAGCCTTCAGATTTTTTCAGCCTTCAGGAACTTGACTTTGTACATGTATCAGCTGGCAAACATTTTCCTTAGGTTCTTTAAATAG